TGTCTTGTGTTGAACTCTGTGAGATCAACAGGTGATTCGATACACAGATGGTTTCAATTTCCACAGAACAATTCTTGAAGCTGTCATTATTAGTATGCTCATCTGCACCATGATAAGAAATCATTTATAACCCATGCATCTCCTAGCATCCATGTTCGGGAATAAGAGACAACTGTGACGTAGAAGTCCTGAAAACACACTGAGATTTCCCAGATCACACAATAATAATAATCATCATCATAATCTTCCTCCTCCATTTTTGAGATTCTGATCTCTGATGTAATTCACAATACCAAAAAGCAAGAATGTTGATTTTTGCAGAATGTGACTAAAACCTAGTTTCAGTTGGTGATCTCCAGTCCATATTTTAAGGAAACAGAAAACCAGATGACTAGAAAGGCAACAACTGTCTCAATGTAACATTAAAACAGATTAATGTGGAGAAAATACACTGCTGGACAAGGATAGAGACAAAACGCAGTCTCCCGCAAAAATGTTCTGAGCTAAACAAGGAGGTACCATTCAGTAGAAGTCTCCCTCTCCTGAAACACATTGTTTGAAGAAAGGCTCATGTCAAATGTTAATTACAATGGAAAATCATATAGGAATGATCACAGAAAAGTACAATAATACCCCAAAAAGCTGTAGCACGCGAGACCTTTGAAGGCTCAGAAGTTCAAAATATGTAAAAAGATCAAAAACGTGTTCCACTTGGCTAGATCAGAAAATGATAACAACCTCTTTTCATATAATCAATGGTTTTCTTTTTCTTCAGCTCTTCTCAGCACATTCTTCTAAATCGTCCGTAAAACAAGAAAACAGAAAGGAAATAATTAAAAACTTACGAAGAACAAAAACAAGCTATTTGGACAAAAATTACGAGAAGACAGAAGAAGCTATGAAAAGAAACTGAGAAGGACTTCGAAAAAGTCTGCAGACTTTTTTCTTAGACCTCTTTCTTTTTCTAAAACCAATTTCCTAAAAACAACAAAAATGCTGCCAAAACTCTGTGTGAGGGCACAAGCTGTGCTATGGGGAGCTGATACTTCAGCTATCAGCATAACATTGGAGAAAACTGTCAGTGTTTATAAAGAAAATAAAATCATAAAGAAGAAAATAGAAACAGGGCTTCCCATGTTGCTGCTAGTATTTTTTGCTGAGACACAAGGCTAAAGCCTGTAGTCCAAAATCTTGCCTCCATTTTATCAAACATTAATATGGACTCTTAATAAGCCTTCCCCACACATCCTCTCATTTAAAAATTGTTTTAAAACTCAATCTCAAGAAGACAAAAGAACAGTGTCTTTTGTGATTTGGTATTCCTGTCCAGTTGGACAAGCCCTTTTACTGATTTAACCGCTGCAGGCAGCATGGTATCATGGAAGTTTAAAAACTTCCCACAAAGTGAGGTCACAGCTCACTTTCCCTATGGTTTTGGGTTTCTTTTCTGATCAACATTGTTATTGTTTTGACAAAAGTGCATCCACAATAGCATTCTGGTCTGGAACCAAATATAACAAAACGCTGTCTTAAAATAATAAAACAATTAAAAAAAAGTGGCAGGATCCAGTATATCAAAATTCACTTCACAGGTCTGCCACAAAAATATATCCAGACTTCAACCCTTTAACTGGGCCTATAAAACTCCATAGACCTGAACTGCTCAGGGAGACTTTCCTGTGAAAGAACATCTTCTACTTCCCCGTGAGAAGGTTGGAAGCCAACAAATTTTTGCTCTTCAGCATATCAAACGTATTATTTTTTTCCCCCCAGGATATAATGAAATAGAGAAAACAAACCCAGGGGTGGACGTAAGAATTGTGTTGTTAAAAATAATTCATTTCTTCCAATTCTGAGGTTTCAGTGAAAAGATAAAGCAGCAAGCCAGCAGCATATAAAATGTCAAGCTTTATCACAGTCTAGTACAAATGCATTTCTTCTTCTCATATACAGGATGGGTTGCATGGACAGTAAATGGGAAATTCTACAGTAGCTTTTAAAGGACTACCGATTAAATTGGAAAGACTGGGTCTGATTGTCTGGAGCAACACATTTAGTGCCCCATGGTTTGGGGTTTTTTTGGTGGTTTTTTTTGTTTGTTTTGTTTTGGTTTTTTTTCAGTTTTACACATTTCAGATACTCGTTTTATCTGCAACAACTGCAAAAGCTTGAAGTAACTAGCTAAGCTCTACCCAGGTATTCTTCCCTCCCCCTCACATCTTCAGGGTAATTCTGAAGACTCTCATCTCTAACACCATCTCTAACAGCAGCAGCTGAGCATCAGGTTTAGGACTGACCCTGCAGGCAATCGGGGCTCCTCTACCTCCTTCCTACGAGAATCAGCATATTCAGAAGAAAAGCACATCCATTTAAAGGAGTGAAGGGTCAAGACCAATGAGAAGGTTTTACCCAAAGGTTTTTTGCATCTTGATCAAGTTGTCATGCCGATAAAACAGCCCAGTACCATCTCCAGTGTGCCTTTTGGCCATTTTTGTGCATCCCTACTGATGAGAACTTGCTGTAGGTTGAGCAAGGGTTTGAGCCAAGTGGTCTGGTCACTTAAATGGAGGCACAACTTCAGTTACATAAGTAAGAACTATAGCCCCAGTACAATAAAGCACTTAAATACACAATTCTCTTGAAATGTAAACAGTCCTGATACAGAAGTTAAGCTTTCACTTAAGAACTTCGATGATGCGAAGCCCACAAGACCAATTACAGAGGCACTTTGGAAAAAACTGTGCAAGCCCAGGAAATGACTTTCACAATGTTTTTGGAAGTACCAATATCTTGAAAATAAAATTCATGGAGAATTTTAGAGCCTGAGGATATATTTACAGAAATGCAGTTTCAACATCTTGAAAATGGCTAACAATTTCGACCTGCATCTCAGCTTCTACTGAAAACTTCTTACGAAGTCTGAGTTTAAAGACTGTAGGTTATAAAAAGTCCTCATATTTTTACTGATGAAATTATTAAAAGATGCCTCAGTCTAGCCTGAGCTTGTAGTCACTGATTAAACTCTGGGTACCACTGAAGGACAGAGAAGCTGGTAGCCTGAGTTTGTTGTCCTAATTGAAAGCTTACACTTGTATTTCTCTAGCTTTTAACTTGCTGACATTTTAAATGGAGTGATTAATCAGTCTTTACTTTGTTATTTGCAATGGACACATTTAATGCTGCAGGCCAGATAAACTAGCCAACATAAATTAGCCACCTTATTGGCAGGTTTATATCACTAGAGCACCTGGTCCTCCCTGAATTAATTTGCACTGCAGACAGGAACCAGTGCCTTGGAAACCAGTGGTATCTTTAAATTCATGTGAAAAATACAAATATTCATATTTTTTACTCAACTCTCTGTCTAGTTGTGTTTTTCTTAAACTGGTTCTCTTAATCCAAAGTAACACAAAGCATAGGACTTACCTCTAGCATTCCAGCACGCTCAACCCTTCTTGCAGACTAGCATTTGCCATGCAGCATGACCAAGTTTTGCTTATCAGGCTCTGTGTTGCTTACCATGGGAAAGCACTTGGTACCACTGGGTTTTTTTCAGGTAGGAAATCTGCAGAAACTGGGCTTGTGCTGCAGATAAGGCAGCTTGTCATTTCCTAGCTTGCCAGGTTCTTTCATAGGAGTGGCACACAGGAAATAGTCCTCTACAGTTATATAAAATTCATTTTTCAAAACTCTTAAGCATTAATTCTTTATCATATTACATTGCAATGAGGCAGGAGGTGGAGCAGGCCAAGAGAGGAGAGACAGAAAGGACTTCTGGTTTTGAAGTGAGATTGAGGGTCAAAGGTCCCAGGTCACTACGAAAACCAGCAATACCATGCCCATTTTCTCCCTCTGAAGCATTCATCATATGGGTTACAACAGTAAATACAGCCAAGTGAAGTTACCAATCTTCCATTAACGCGTGCAGCAACATCGAACTCCAGTTACTCTGCTCACTGTAGGAACCCAGCAAGCACTCAACCTCCACTTTCTAGGAAGCATGGGCAAAGCGAAAAGAGCAGGGTGAAGCAGGAAGAGAGGATACGGCCTCCTGGTCGGGGGATGACAACGCAAAGACAGGGCCCAGGAGAGATCGCGGAAGTACAATACAGGCACAGGGTATAGTAAGGATCATGAGGTCAGGTGTCTGTCAGTGATGAAGCACAGGTGAAGTTAGCATTCCAGTACAGATGTACACAAGGGAGACTGGGAACAGCTAGGACATGGTGCAAAACCAGTTTTGGAATCAACAGGTTGGATTGGAATGCTTAGCTTAAAAACCTGGCTCCCATTTTAAAGTATTGCTTCCTCTGTTTCTTAATTGAAAGTGAGTGATTCGTTCTGCTTCAAAACAACCAAGCATGGAAGACTTATACAGGTTTAAATTATATTCTTTCTGCTGCATATATTTTTGTAAACATTCAAGTCACTCAGGCTCTTTAATTCTTCTTCTGAAAACTGTACAATTATACAGTCAAATAGTTAAAATGTATGTCTGGGAGGGAAAAAAGAAACAACAGTGGAGTATGAGCATTACCTTAAATATCACAGTATGCTATAAGCAAACAAAGAAGGAAGTGTTCTTTAAGGATCAGCTTGGACAGGAACCAAAAGGCTGCTCAGAAACCCTCTGTCAGCATGACACACAGCCACAGTAAACACGCACCACCAGAACAAATTGTCTGAGCAAATGTGAAGGAAGAAGTCCCACTAGGAGCAGCTCCAAACACAGCGTAAGAGTCAGTATTGCACAGTATTAACAGAGCAACTTACACAAAAATGTCTGTATACCCCATGCCGGAAAATGCAGGCACTAATAAGAGAGCTGGTAAAGGACACAGGCTAGCATTGGGGTGTAGCTGTCTTTAACTGGAGTTGTTTTGATGCAACTTTCCAGGTATGGAGGAAGATACCTTTTTTCCTTCCCATCATTCCTCTCACTCTGCAAATGTGAAGGCACCACTATGTGCTCCTCCAGCAGAAGGGTCCTGGCCCAAAAGTTAGCTTGTCCCATGGCTGCTATAGTCAAAAACACCTTTCCTGAAGAAGGGTGAGAATTCGCAGATAGTGTGTTTTGACAGAGTTAGCCTCACTTTATCAACGTGCAGCGGAGATGACGGAGATTTCAGCATTGCAGAGAAAAAGCTCCTGAGGTATTTCTGTGGAACAAAATGCAAAATGTCATTAAGGTTTACTTGATCAAATTGATTACAACCACTTTGAAGAATTAAATGAACAGTGGTATTTAAAAAAAAAAAGAAACAAGATCTCCACAGACTTTGAAAAGTCATCAGCATTTAAATCCATCCATAAAACATGTCTACTGAAATGTCTGTATTAAGCTCAGGAAAAGCAGAAAATAAGTACTTTCCACTTTATTCTCCTGCCAAACTTAGTAACTGTTTTATTCTGTGCTTGTATGATGTTTTTTGTACACACATTCTGTTAATTCTGTAGTCACATAACGCTTTCTGCTAATCATGACCTGCTAACACTCCTGTCTAGCACTACCAAACACTATAGCAGGTGCAAACCTCAAATCCATTGCGCAGCAAGTTCACTACATATGGACACAAGAGGCCTTCAGATATCTTTCCCTCAAGCCTCCACAACTCTTGCACCGAAGAGGATTTGTTTTGATCAAGGCCATCTGCACAAAGATTGCATGACTTCCATATTATCTCAGAACCTACCAGCATCTTTACACTGAGCTGCCCTCTAAATTTCATGGTTTTTAGGTCTTACACATAAGAAATACTCCCCTTCCCAAAAGTTAATATTCACGAACTGCTGTGTGACTTGCATCCATTTGTACCTAGAGAAACTGTGACATGTGCATGAACACAAAGTTAGTTTTCACAAACCTGATGGGGTTTCCTTCACATATGGGTTGAATTATTACAATCATTTAGCATGATTTAATAAGTTATATTTGTAACTTTTAAATGAAACACAGTAGGTAAAACATTGATCAGACAGGTGCTAAAAAACATACCCATTGTCACCCACATAGTTATAAGGCAAATTTCATATAGAGCACAGGGATAAACTCATTTGCTCTACTCAAGAAACTATTCACTAATCTTGGATGCAGAAGGAAATATATCTGCAAGACAGAACAGTACAACCTCCTACGAAGACCACAAGTTATTTGAATGCAGCAGCTTTTCGGTCATGGAAGTGGTTCCATGTTCAGGAAACAATCCTAATTATTCACTCTCTTCTCAAGGTTAATTCCTCCATACTATAACAACCTGTTACCTATTTAAGTGCCTTGGAAACCAGTGGTATTAGTATCATAGAAAGCAGGATAACAATAAACAACAAAAAAAAGCAGCTGGTAGATAAACTATTCTCTTGGCAGGACTGGAGGATTTTCTTTTTTATTCAGAGGTTGTATTAATGCTCATGAAAAAAAATTTCATTAGAAAAATGCCTTTAATATTAATTCCAACAGCCTAAGAGGTAATTTAAAGTGAGTTTCATAGTAGAAAATCAAATGTAAAACACGGCATTCTGTTAGAGTTTTAGCACTGTGCTGAAAAGTAACTGCAATAATTCCAGTTTATGGTTACCGCAGGCTCAAAGGTACCCAAATACCTCACCAGAGACATCACAAGACCTATTGTGTTCACTTTGGTAGGTATGGCCAGATAATTGACTGTCATGCCTTTCCTGTACAGCCATTATTCATTGTTTTGGCATGATAGCTCTAATCGCAGAGCAAAAAAATCCCTCTGCTATAAGCGTATACTTCTCTGACAGGGAAACACTAAGAACAGCAGGTATACTTATTTTCCCAGATCTGCACACAGCAGTTGCTCAGTGAATATCAGACTCTTTGAACATGAAAAAGATCCTTGGGAAAAAGGCAACAAGAAGTCCCTACCAGATTATGATGGAATTCATTTTGTATGAAGGTTTCCAGCCATATGGCTTGGCATTATGTGCTCTTCAACAACCACCTCTGAGCAAATCGGCTCTCTTATAAACCCCATATCTGCATTTGCCCTTGTTTGCAATACTGGTACGTTAGCACAGCACAGAGCTGATGTGCCCTTGACACAAAGATGCTGTTGCTTCAATGAAATTAAGGCTGCTCTGCCCAGATATGCTGGCTAGGAGTTAAGTCTCTTAGTGAACGAAAAAGCAATTGATGTCTGAAATGTTTGCTCACACCACAAACATTTGTCTCAGTTAAAGAGCTGTAGCTGGGCAATAAGGGAGAAGGTTGCTCTGTCCTGTTGGCTGCAATGTGGACGATGAAGTGGAAGAAAGCAGTAGGAGAAAAGGAAGAATGCTCCTTAATGGTATGTGGAAAGATGCTTCCCAAATTCAGATGGGACAGAGAGAGGATGAAGGTTACAGCAAGCTGGGAGAGGGGCAGGAGAACATCAACACAAAGCACCAGAGATGACAAAAAGAAAACTTCCTTAGAGATCCAGAAGGGACTCAGCATGGAGTTTGTTGCAACCCAGGAAGCCACTGCAAGCTGCTGGAGCGGGAGCAAGACTAGATGAAAGGATCTCCTCTGTCAGGACTTGGTGGGCAGGAGGAGAGTTGTTTTCAAAGCTTTTGTATTAAATCCATTTCCAGCAGCAGATATTACTTTTCTCTACTTCCAGAATAATGCTATTTGTGCTGAGTTAAAACTTGGTGGGAAGCACTCTGGTATCTTTTGATGTGCTCCCTTAAAAAATTTCTTAGCAGACACTGGCAAGTTCAGGGTGCCTTCACAGAAACATGTCCAAATATTATACACATCAGTGCTGTGACTTCCTACCAGCATTTCACCAATAGCATCTAAATCATTGTCCTGAGCACACAAAGCACTACATTACAGCAATCCAACTTTTGCTAGGTTTGCGTTATTGGCTTAGAAAGAAAAAACCTAGGTAACCGCTACAAATATTCCAAAAGGCTTGTTTTTATTACTCATTTTCGTTTGTTAGCCTTTCAAAGCTCTAGCCATTTGTTCTGGATTATTTTATCTGGTAATCAGTGTTCTTCCAAATGCACTTCGTCTTCTTTCACTAATAGTGTTCAACCTGCTACGTTGCTGGTTTTCTGGAAAATATCCTGATTATAAATCTGTAAGTGTTTCAATGTGAGGGTACAGGACCCCGGCACTATAACACGGATGTAAAATGGGTAACTTACACACTGCTCGTGTTGGTCACTCAGTCTAAGCACACTTTCAGGAACACTAGCTTAAAGAATAGAAATACTCATCATGTACAAAACTCTTAAAGATTAAAAGCTATGTTAAAAAAAAAATCCAAAACAGCAAAAGCAGTGGTTTTGCCTTCTTGGCACACATTACAACCTTCATGGCCTTTAACTTAAAATTTATGACAGGTGTACCTGCAAGTTTTAACTTTGTATTCCAAGCATTTTCAAATGAAACAAGACTGGAGAAAGGGTTGTGAGGTCCAAAGATTTTGCTTTACTCACTAGTTTTCCCTCCCTTTAATTATGTGAATAGCATAATGGCAATCATTTTAAAAGCTTATTAAAAATAATTTTAATAGGGTTCACCTTTTTAGCAGTAGGCCAGTGTTCATCTTGTGTTCAATCCATCAGTACAACAAAGACATTCTAATGATTTTTGCACTACTTTGTGATGTGGGGACCTCACAATTTTATACATTTTAATATAAATCCATAACTTAGAGATATTAAAGTTATTACAATCAAATAGATTTATAGAATTTGAAAGTGTTCTTACCATCCTTTTAATTGTGGCATATTAAAGAGGAATTCAGTTCAATGACATTGTTCTCATAATCCACTACAAACAGCGACAGCCTCACAGACCAATAGCAGAGCTTAGCAAAAACTGGATTTTTCATTAAACTTTGGTGCATTTAAAAGCTCATAAACTGTGGTACTTCCAGAAAGCAAAGAAAAACTTTGAGCTTTCTCTCTCCTGCTTTTTCTAGCAACTTCCTCAAAAACGCCAGCATTTTATACTCTTTAAAAATACCACTTTACAATTAGCATTATAAATATCAAATTATAATATTTGACAGAGCTGAAAGCACCACAAACTTTAATAAGATAAACCTTACAAGGCTTTGGGGATTTTTGAAACAATACTCCCCTTTCAACACCTACACATCCATGTGACAGCCGAAAGCTTTACCACAAGGTCACAGAAGGTGATCGGTGGCAGAGGCAGGACTAATGCTCACCTAACTTCTAGCATTGGCTCCTTTCTCCCTTTAATATAGATGCTAGTTTCTCTTAGCACCAATCACACAGTTATTCTGTTGACTAGTATTGAATGCTGCAAACTTTAAATCAAATCTTGATTTGAATTATTCATAGAGCAAAACATATGCAGATTTCAACAGCTGTTTTCTATAGGATAGGATTACAAAAAAAAGACAGATTGAAGCATATTCCCTGACTCTGAAAAACCACATCATGCTGCAATTAGATATTTGCAAAGTAAGATCATCCCAAGGAAGACTCTAGCCCAAAACAAGCAGACAGAAATATGTTTCGTTTCCAATCTGTGATCACAAAAGTAAGGATCTGCTTAGAAGACAATGCATGCAAAGCCTCTGCTGTAATGCAGAAATGGGAGTGTCTCTCCTGCCTTTGTTTCCTAGAAATAAATTGTTGGGCAATGCAAAGGAAAATGAGCATTTAAGCATCCTTTCCCAAATTAACCAACTTTCTTGATTTTGAATCTTTCCATTGGTGTCTTGAAGAGGAAAAAAAAACACTTTCAGGGTGGTTTTTCAAGTACCAAACATTACAGAAACACCGGCTATTATCACTAACTAGAGTCTGTACTACAGAAAACACTTTGCTCAAATGGCACTGAGAGGACATGGTGTCCCACAAAGACTTCAGGCTGGCAAAGGGCCCTGTCTGGGGTGATGCTATATACAGAATCCAAGAAAAATAGGATTCAAACTTCTTATTGGATCTGCCTTTTCCTTCCATGGCTTGTTTTCTTTCTTACTGGCAAAAGTCAGAGGGAACTAACATGCTGTACAAGGAGGTAAGCTGGGGTTACAGCCTGTGATACCACTAGCAGAGCGCAGAATACAAGAACCCTTAGGAAAAGGGCTACAAGCTAAGCCAGCTGTGACTCATCTGGGGCATACACCACATCTCAAATGCCACACAGGACTGGATTATCTGA